TACATATATATATATATACTTTGTTCTCAATGTTTTGTATTTTCGGTTTGCCCGTATACATGAGATGTCAACCAATGTCTTTAGAACACATTACGCATTTTGTATCAAGCTTATGGGCTTGCGTTGGATTTTCATCCCTTGCTACTGGTGCTGCTCTGGTACTGATGCTATAGTTACTATATAAAACTACGCAGGCAATGGCCGGGCTGAAGTGCAACGAAGACAATCTTATCTTCACCGCTGGCGACAATCTACCTACCATCACCGTTTTGGCTTGCGAGAACATCGATCCAGACGCCACACACCGCAACCGGGCCTTGAACCACAGAGACGAGCTCGCCCACAGGTTAAACACAGGGGCCGGCCTATTGAGCCTGGGAGGTATGCCAACTGGCGGTAGCCTTAAGAAGAATGGGTTTAAGAAGACTCCCATTCCCCCGAGGAAACCCAGTGCGAGAGCAGCACCTAAAGCGTCCATGACCAACATGCTATCCGTGTAGGCTGAATAAGCGCACACGTACACGATCCCCGGTCGCTTGCTTCGTCATGCAAAGACTGGGGCGTTGCGCGTGAAGGAAAACGCCCCCTTCTAAATCGCCTGGCCAGGCCTCGAATGGAGGTACATGCACTAACGCTTACCCGGAGCTTACCACGTCTTCCTTTCAAAGTGTCGGCGTGCAGAGCAGCCTTTTCCTGTGCCTTTCCAGGTCCATTTGTATTTGGCTTTACATACAGTTGCTGTCTGTCTGTTTACACATGCGCGTTCCTTGTTGCATTTGCTTTTACATTGCTTCAAATTGGGATGCAGATTTATGCTCACGGGTGCATCACCGAACCGTATACGGATATGGCAGAGTCTTTGAGCCGGATTCCCATATATCCGCTGACTCAAAATGGTTTATCTTCAGTTTCCGAATGACCTGACCTAACCCCAATAGATGGGATTTGTTTCGCTACCAGAAGGCTCTCCGAAGTGATAAGAGAATATGCCTGAATACCCAAAGGGACGTAATGTCGAGTGTTAGAATCAACAGTACGACACAAATGGAGCTATGAGTGATATTTACAATAAACCCTCTTGACGAAAGAAATCTTGGTGGGGTTTGTCACAACCGGTTGCAAGTGTTCTATACAAAAAAATAAAGTAACCAGTACATTTACCCTTGAGTTTACCCTTGAGGAACTTAATCAGCACATACATGCGCCTATACTAGCGTTTATTAGTTCTGACAATTCTGAGCCAGGCCTGTCGTGTGATATTTGTAAACAAATTCTGCAGCTTGATCAATTTTCGATATACTGTGTTGTAAATTCTGCATCGTGCGCAATCTTATTGTCTTGTCGATGGGTTTTTTTTACACTGAATGTTATTCGAAATAATTATTACATGCTTCAAAGAGTATAAGTACGCTTACGTTCGGAATTTCGACAACACATCCTGACCACAGGGTACAATTGCAGTATGCACAAGACGACAGTGAAGTGTGTTGTTATCTTCAAAGCGAAAGGAAAGTGGGCCTTCGGGTCCTTTTCATTTTGAACGAATCGCCATAGTACTATAGACAAACCTTAAAAAATGAAATTTTGTCATGTATGCTCCCTTTCGCAATCCTTACGCAATACATCCTTATAAGGTCTCTTGTGTAATAATGTAAGTCAACCTTATTTTATGGCAATTTATTCTGTTATTGAAATATAATCATCAAATCTATGTATCAGTATACCGTCGGCGTCAGGTACTATCTACAATATCGCGACCTGTAAATATTTCGAGAAATCTTGATGTCACCACTACAAAAGCAACCTAAACCACCACCTACAATTCGAGCAACCTATATTGGCAACCACTATAAGAGCCACCTACAGTCGCCACCCACGCTATACCAGAGTATACTGTACGTATATACACAATAAAATTGGATATTTTCGAAGTATGATTTATGCCAAATAATATGTGTATATGTGTGTATTGAGACATGTCTTGTCCTAGCCGAAATTTATTCTTGTATGTACTTATTATCCTCGCCCTCTTCCATTTGCAATCACCACGATTATAGAGTCATTCTGGCGAAGAAGACTCTTAACTACTTCCCGCGTTACCTGATACCATACGCCAGAGTTAATTTAAATGCTGGGTATGCGCTGTAGATCAGCTCGATTGCATAAAATCATTCAGGGCTATTCCAGGTTTAATATATATA